AGCTGTATAGTATCAAACTCATTTTCTTTATCTATAATATCACTCACCAGAATATCAGGGTCAGACATGATATTAAATCTTAGATTAAATTGATATCTTGATCTCTTTCTTTCATAGATCACTACTCTTGACTTTGTCTCAGACTTTTGAGATAAAAAGCAGTAGTAGCTTGAATGAGAAATGACATATTTTTGCTCAGCATCAAAATTCGGCTCCTGAAGCAGTACAAAATCAACTTTTTATTCAAATGCAATTTGAAGACAAGAATAAATGTAATTTGAGTTTCTATTCACATTATTTTAAATAAATGTGATTTTTGAAGAGTTTTTAAACTTTTTTTGTTATTTTTGTTGTATATTCATACTAAAAGAGAGTAGAGTAGAATCTAATCACTATTATCAGATAGTAGATTATAACTGTTCTGAAAAGTAGAAATCTCAACTGCTTGTATTATATCTAGTTTATCATCAGAGTCATTTCTCAATTCTCTAATCTTAATAGAAGTTTGAGAATTCAAATTCTGTTTACATTTAGCTGAAGAATTGAAGTTTGAAGACTTAGATAGTTAAGAGTTTCTTCTTTTTGAGCTTACAGTTATGAGTTTACTGGCTTGACTATTCTCTTCAGTTCTAGATTTACTCTGAGCTTCATCTTTTCTCCAGTTCTTTTGAGTTCTTGAAGCAAACATACATTCTTTTGAGCTAGATGTATGTTTTTCTTTACAATTAGAGCATTTAAGCAGAGTGTGTTGACATATTTCATCTCTTTTTAAGCATGTTTCACATTTATACTCACTAGTTTTATGATCTCTGGCACAGAATGCACATTTTGAGTCTCTGAAACAGAAGATTGCAAAGTATCTGTATCTTTGACAGTTTGAACACTGTGTTTGAGCTTTGAGATTCATTCTTGAGTCTTTGTATTCATGAACTCTCATTTTCAAACCTGCTACTCTTACTTCAGAGATCTTCAACTGTTTCATTGTCTTTGTATATACTAGAATAGAGGCATTTCTTCTACTTTGTCTAAACTCAATTGAATTTAGTCATACAGGCTTCTTTCTCAGTTGAATAGAGTTGTATTCTTCTAATTTATTTTTGAGAAGTAGTATTTCTTCTTCACAGTCAAAAATTTCAACTGAAATATCATAAAGAATGAATTTGTCTCACTTTTCATCACTCTCAGATACAATTATTGTGTTTAACAAAGATTCTACTGCTGATTTTCAGAGATTCTCATTCTGAATAAGGAATTCAGCACTGAATTCAGGCATTGTAGTCAGAATGATGAAGTTTTCAAAGAAGAATGACTCAATTGAAGCTATAACTGATTTTTGAACATCAATATCAGTCATTAACTGAGAAAAGAACTGCTGATTGATTTCATTTCTAATTCTGAAAATGAGGTTTGAGTTTAGCTTATTTCTCTGCAATATATCCTGATTTGAGACTTTGAGAATAAGTCTTCTATTTCTGAAGATTTGAAGATTTTTCTCTTTTTACATTTTTTTCTTCACTCTTCTATCACTAGAAGTATGAGCAGTATTCTTCTCAGTTTTCTCAGAATTTTGAGCAGGTTTTGAGATAGCAGATTTAGAGATAGCAGATTTAGAGACAGCAGATTCAGCTGCTTAAGCATATGTTTTCTTCTGATTTAAAGAAGAAGAAGAAGAAGAAGTAGAAAAGAAAGAAGAGCAAACTGAAGAGTCAGTGATTGTATTAGAAATTTTCAAAGTTTTTTGAACTGTGTTTGAAATTCCAAGTTTGAACTTGATCACTTTCTATAGTTGTCTAGTCTGAGTATGAAGAATTAACAGAACTTCTTCATTCATCTCACTCAGACACTGCTTTTCAAGAATTTTACTTGCTTTTTCAAGTTTCTGTATTTTAAGAACTTGTTATTTCTCTATTTCTTCTTTCTTTCTTCTCTTCAAAATTTCAATCTCAGAAATAGCATTTGAGAAAGCATCTTTTTCCACATTAACTGAGTGTACTTTTGAACTCATTATTCTTACTCAATGAAAAGTTGGTCAGACTAATTCAATTGAGATATTTATTAAACTCTTTTGAATTGAAAAGTTGATCAGACTGTTTCAATTAAGAGGTTTCTAAGTCTGTTTTCAATTGAAAAGTTGATCAGGCTATTTCAAAAGAAGAATAGCAGACTTTTGTGTATAAAATACCTGATTTTTTTCACACTAGTTCAGTAACTAGGTTAGATTTTTGAAGAGAATCTAATAAACTAAAATTGATTTTTAAGATAAATCAATAAAATCTTTACAATCTCTTTCTTGAGATACAGTGAGAAAAAGTATGATATCAATTGATAGTAAATCAGATGATATGACAGTTTTTAAGAGAAAAACTGACAAAAAATAAATCAATTTTTTGCAGAGAAATTGATTAAAACTATTCAATTTTATTCTAAATTATTCAATTCTTCTCACACAACAAGTGTGCAACTCAAATCAGTTAATAAAGAGTGTAAAAAAGAATTAAGTATTAATGAAAGCTCTTCAGTCACTGAAAAAGTAATTGTTACTTAAAAGAATATGAAATTATGATAGAAAACAACTCTGTTTTCAATTCTTTGTAAGAATATTGTATAAAACTCAGAGAAAAACATCTTACTTTTTCAAGAGAAGTAAAAAACTATTTCTAAGATCTTTTTTTTTTTTTTTTTTTTTGCATTAACTGCTGCAGAAGAATGAGATAGAAACTGCTAAGATATGCACTACTGTATACTCTCTATCAAGACTTTCCCTCTTCAGAGTCTTGATATTATAGAGAATATAAGTCTATTTCTATATGATAATGTAAATATTGTCAGCAGGATGTAGAGAAACTGGTTATTTATATCTCAAAATAGAAGACTTTGTCAATGATTATATCAATATAGAGTTAATTCTTAAATTCAATAGAAACCTAGTGTTGCTGTTCTCAATCCCTTGCAGAATCTATTGAATATTGAGATATTAAAACTAGATTTAATATATCTCACTGTGCAGGGATCAAAGGCTCAGTCAGACCTTGAGGTATACTGATTTTATAGTTGTTGATGTGCTGTTGACTTGTTGTTCATTGATTATGTGCTTGATATTATCACTGAGGTATCTTTTTGTATTTTTCTGCTGGGGATGGGCCAGATTGGGAAGGGCGGTACGAGGGTGAGACTTGGCGTTGGTGTTTTGGAACATCAAAGATGGACAGGGTTTTCGCGGAGGTCGCTCCTCAGATATCTCCACAACTACAGATCGGGGATCTTCCAAAATCGAGAAGATTGCTGCATACGGCTAGGTCTCTTCACCTTACAATTTGTATGGCAATTTGGCCCGGGGTTGTGGTATGGTAGGGGAGAATGGGGGATAATCCCACGCAGGAGTTCCGAACGACGTCTGGTTCACGTTTGGCTAGATAACTCCACCACCACACGGGGTATGCGGTCGGCGATGGCGTCAAAATGCTCGTATGATCGAGGGCTTTTCGATGGATCTATCGGCGGGTTCTTATTCGAAAAATCGAGCGAGTTCGTGGTGGAGCGGTTGATCGTGAGATATGGCATAGTCTGTACTTATCTCAGCGGGCTCAGACCTCTGGCTCGGTTTGAACGGGTTGCAGCATTATTATTAACTAGTTAATCCGGCATGACACTAACCTACTTTTGATACAAGTCATGTGCTCAGAGCAATCCTCGCCAGAGGGTCTGAGAAGAAATGATTCCATCTTCAATGAAGATTTCCAAGATTTACAAGGATTTTTCAGATTCTTCAACTTTGACTGTCTATTACTATATACCCACATATCTTTGAGATTTGAAAATCACCTTAGCTTATAGCTAAAGAGAAGAAGAATAGAAATATTTCTTTAATATTTCAAAAAAATCCATATTTAAGATAGATATATACTCTTGAAAATGATCATATTTTTTGATCTCAGAATTTCTAAGAGCTTTTTTTTGTATGAGGAATTGAATCAAAATTCCTGTGTTTAAAAACACACTGGTCAACTTTGAGGTGATACTTCTATTCTAAGAACTTGAGATATGAATATAAAAATCAGATACATCGCGAGAACATTGTTATTCTAAGGTTTCAAGATGATACAGAAATGATGAATCTATGAAGTTGAGTTAAAATTCTCTTTCATACTCAGAGTACTGAGCAAATTCTTCTCATGTTACTAATAATCAGAAACTGTTTCTTCTCAGATACTTCATAAGATATTATCACTCACATGACCTGATTTTACTATTTGAGTTAGCTTATTGCTTATTTGAGATTAGCTCATGACATAATCATCAATTCAGTGTTAAAACAGCAATGAATATCTGAAGAAGTGTCTGAGCTTGCTGAGATAAAGTCTGTACAGTTGTTAAAAATCTAGTTCTGAATAAAGAATATGTTTGAATTCTTAGTCACATTTTCATTCTGATCTCATTATTGAGAATGGCATTAAATAAGATTATGAAATCACTTCTCACTTACATAATATCATAACATAGTGCTCATTTATTGAAAATTCAACAGAGAGTGTTATCAAATATCATTACTTTTCTAAACACAGATTATAATTCATATAATTTTAATTATGAAAAAAATGTAAAATATAAAAAAAAAAACAAAAAACAAAAAACAAAACAAAAACAAGAAAAAATCAGAATGAATAAAAAAAAAAGAAAAGAAAAAGAAAAAAATAAAGAATAAAAATAAAAAAAATCAAGATTACAGAGTCACAGTACTCTTAAAATACTTACTTCTCAGAGTCTTTACAATATTCATTATCAACTGTGTATCTCTCACAGTGAGAGTAATATAGCTGCAATGAGTTATTGTCTTAATATTATCTAATAAATAATCAGTATATATCTGTATAAATGTGAATATTTAGAAAATATACACTTAAAAAGTGTGGTCAGAGTGAACTCTGCTGTCACTTGAATAACATCAAGAACAGAATGCTGAAATCAATGATTTCTCTCATCAATTTCACAGACAAGATAGATGAAGATAATCTTGAAGAATATAAGATTCTCTGACTTCTGATAAAAACAGATCTCATGAAGAGACTCTATTTTCATGATATCAGAGACTGAGTGTTATTAAAAAGTGTTACTTTCATACAATACACATACACTTACTGTAATGATTCATTCTCTGCATATGTGACTGAGAATTGCAGCTTTCTCACACTGCACAGCTCTCTCTGAGATGCTGGTACTGATTTGCAACTCATGCAGTCTCTCAGTTCAGTACACACTGTGTGTATACAGTTCTGTGTGCTGAGGCTGTGTTGATCATTATGACCTGATGTGATACTTGCTTTTCACAGGCTATGTTTCATTTGAGAGAGGAAGAAGAAGATGTGACTGTGATTTTATTGAGAGAGAATGAATAATTAGTAATATTGAATATAATTTGATTCTTCTGCATTTAAAATTTGATTAGTCTATACTCTTCAATTTGAGAGTTTCTAGAAGTGTTTTAATAGTTTTCATACTAGCTTGAATTTAGTGATGAGTTGAAGAAGAAGAGAAAAGAGAGAAGAAAGAAATAAGAATAACTTATCTTTATAATATGAAAACAGAGAATCACTGCAATTATTCTTTCTAGTAACAAAGATCTGTTTTCTGCATGTATCTCTGATATAGATTATATGATAACTGCATACAAAGAATATTAACACTGTATGTATTGAATGAAGATGATGTTGCTATGCAACACTGTAGCTATTTCTGTATATCTCTGAAAGCTGGTAATATTTTCTTTGTCTCTTTATATTTGATAAGTCAGTAATATATTTCAATGCACTTTCTCTTTCATCATCATTATCATCATCATTATTATTATTATCATCACTATTATCATCATTATTATTATCATCATCATTACTATCATCACTATTATTATCATTATTATTATTATCATTATTATTATATCATTTCTGACTGTCTCTTCTGCCTTCATCTCTCTTCAACACTCACTGAAATTTATCATATCATCTCTCTTTAAATATTCTGCGGTTCTGCGGATCATCAAGGCGTGTGAGCACTGTCACAGATTGAAGAAAGAGAAGAAGAAGGTATTCAAGTGAGAAAAGACTGATTGTAAGACATGTTATAATATCTTGAAGAGGCTTTATAAGAGAGTAGAATGATAATGATTTTAAGTAATACTTCTGATAGATTTAGACTGAACTAAGTATAGAAATAATGTGAATGATGTCACCTGTGAGAGATTGAAGAAGAAAATAGTGAAGAGTCTCATACAGCAGCAGTGAGACCAGAAGAAGTTCTGAGAATGATTTGAGTTCAAGATAAAGAGAGAGAGAGAGAAGAAGAGTATTACTGTAAATAAGCAGTGATAGAAGAAGATTGAGAAGGTGTTGAAGTAGAAGATAAAGAAGTCAAAACTGATAAGTTTTTTATTTATTAAGAGATAACAATTTTTGATAATACTTCTGTTCTCTAATTGATTAGCAGGAGCTGATAGAGAAGAAGAGGATTAAGATCTTATTCAGATCTCAAATACACTTCATAATTCAGAACATTGAGAAGACAGCCCTGCTCTCTGAGCATGTCAATCTGCTTACTGCTGAGATGAAACCCGAGACAGCAGATCAGAAAATGCAGGATTTTGAGGCACAGATTGACCTGGCTGAGAAGAAGCAGTAAGAACTCTTCTCCAAGAAGGCAGCAGAAGGAGATTTTGAGATGATTATCACCTCAGATGAGAAGAAGAAGAAGAAGAAGAAGAAGAAGAAGAAGAAGAATGAGAAATGAATTGTGAAGAATGATAAGAAGAATAAGAAAGAGAAGAAGTAGATTTTTTTCTTTTTATATTAGTTAGTTATAAGTTTAAGTTTTTAATTATTAATAATTAAAATTGATTTTAAGTTTTCAAAAATTATTATACAAGTTGTAATCAAGTCAGGAATGATATATATATATATATATATTTAACTATCATGATTCACAAATCACTATAATATATAAGTATCAACATTTTTTCAACATTGATATTCATAATATTAATATATTTTTAATGATATTATCTGATAACACAATTTGATAATACTCTCTTTCACAATATTAATATATTTCAAGAAATATGACAGAGATTAATTAAGATTATTTATTTACTTTTATACATCAATGATATTCAATCTGAGTTAGTACTAAAATTATAACTAAGCTAAGAAACAAGATTATTTTCTCTTATATTAATTCTTCTTACACACATCAGTGATCAGTTATTGAAAATAAATTATTATCTTTCTTAAATTATTATCATATCTTCTGAATTCACTTCTTTTACTTCTTTTACTTCTATTGAAGATTCATAAACTCTTCAAGAAATCACTGTGAATCACAAAGTCTATGTTATTTACAATTCAATACAGAATGCTCTCTTTCAATCATAATAAATAATCACTTCATTCTTCACATCTGATTTTAGGTTATAAAATTTATGAAAAACTCAACATAAACACTGAGATGATCTATGAAATAATTATCAACAGATTGTATTACAGATTACTAAAGAGTCATCTCTCTGCTACAATCACTGCAACTTTATTCAGAAACATTCATTATAAACTAATTATAACTCTGAAGAAATTTCTCAATATCTGAAGTCATCAGAATGCAGATAATAAAAGAAAAATAATCAGAAAATTACTACTGAGCTGATAAGTTCCTCTATCAGATAATGATTTTTAATAACACTAACTTTCTAATTTGAAGAAAATCATGTGAAAACAATTATATATCAGTACTCTGATTTCACAACTCTTATCTGATAACTTCTGTGAATAATTACTTTATATATGTATATCTCTGAATCTTTCTTTTTAATCAATTGAAAACTCTGAATTCTGAACACTTCTTCAAATGCTTAATTTAAATCTTCATATTTCACATTGATTCTGTCTTCAGTTCAATCTTAAGATATACTACAAAGTCAATATACAATATCTAGAATCAGAGTTGAAGAATCATTGAAGAGTGTCTCTTATAGTGAATACATGAACTAGTACAAATAATCTTACATTTATAGAAGTTATATGTTATTACATTGATAAGAACTGAACTTATCAAGAGACATTAATTGAATTTGAATCATTGATCAGTAGTCATACTGAGAATTATATGACAGAGATATTAATAACTGTGATTAAAAATAACTATTGAGATATTAGTCTCAGTCTTCTTATAATTATAACTGACAATGCTGTGAATAACTACACTATGATGAAGAGCTTGAAGTAAAAATTGACTTTGTATTTCTGAAATAATAAACAAGGTTATATTCTCTGCATTACTCATGTGGTTCAACTTGTAGTATAAACACTGATAAAGAATCTTAACATTGAGATGAAGAATAATAAGATGACTGATTCTTGAGATGAGAATGAGATGAAAGTGATTACTCAAGTAACTTTTGCATCTACTTTATAAAAGATAATGTTTTTTAATAACACTTTTTAATATTGCTTTTTGATAATGCTTTTTGATAATACTACTGTTAATTTTGAATAGATTGACTAATAATTTAAATATCACAGATTTGAAACATTGCTAATGCAATTTGTACCTTCTCTAAATAATAATAACAATTTCATGATATTTAATAAATAAATAAATCAGTCACATCACTGAATATGATACAGTATGTTAGAATATGATGAAGTTCAATATATAAGATGACTGTTCAGACTCTTCAATTGCATCAGATGATTAATTATTGAGTGTAACACTCTGATTAAGAAAAGATTCAGATATTGAAACTTTCTGATATAAAGTGAACTCAGTTGAAATATATGATTGATTTACTGTTTCAGTTTTATAAGATAATAAAGACAGTCTCAATCACTTGTACATCAATGCTGCAGTCAGTCTGATGAGTGTATAACAGTTTATTTACTCATTTTAAGAAGCAGTTGAATCACTTAAAAAGAAATTCAGTCTGAGATGATGCTATAACACAGGCTATTATTACTGTAAGAAATAAACTGACATATTACTACAGCAAAACTGAACAATCTTTTACAGAGTACTATGCTATAGCAGCTCTACTAGATTTCTTCTGTTGAGTTAATATCTACACTTCTCAAGATTAAACAGAGAAGAAATGAGACTTATATATTAAATTAGTCTGAGACTACTACAATGTCAACTATCAGAGATTTGAATGAGCAGATGTTCAAGATGTGAAGACAGTGAAATACAATTCTCTAGTAAGTAATGATCTTTGATAACACTTCATATCTCATAGAACTATAATACTAACTTTGAAACAGAACTTGTATACATTGATTACAACTGAAAATTAGACAAAACTACATACTTGTAAAACTGAATTTGACTGCTATCTTCAAGATAATCTGATAAATTTACATATCAAATCAATTCTAGAGTTATGAAAAATTGTTGAGAGTACATATTCAACTGTTGCACTGATGACACATAATATTCTGACAATTTCATTGACAGAGATGAGAATGAAGTGAAAGTTCAACTCAAGTCAAGATATTTGTCACTATCACTGAGAACAATTACAAGGAGAAATAATCAAGAAACTCATGATTATAAAACATGAAATTATCAGATAGTTTAATATCTCTGATCACAGTATATCAGAGAAGTGTAGTTTTCATGAGAAAGTGAAGAATATACTTACACAAGAATGTATTTAGTTATTTCATGAGTGTTATCAATAATCATTATCAAATTCTGATTATATAAGCAATCACTGAATGAACTGAATGAGACTGATTTTAATCTTCAGTCTCAGTCTCATTTTGATTTTAGAAGAATGATCATCTTTCACAGTTTATTCTGAGAAATTACTTTCATTTCACTGTTCTTGAATTAAATCTGATCATTTTTCACATCATTTCTCTCAGAAATGGTCCATTTTCAGATTTTTTTGAGGCTTGGTCCTGGTGGGACTCACGCCAAGAAATGTATGAGACCAGATCAAATGAAATCAAATGTGAAATTCATGGTCCCGCCGGCCAGTCTAGTAACAAGAGTAATAAATAAGTAGATATATAAGTTGAAATTACTCTCAGAATTAAAATCAATTCATTCTATTTTTCACATTTTCTATTTAAAGTTCTATAAGTAATACTCTGAAGTGAAATCATCTCAGCTGAATAGTATTGAGATTGAGAGTGATATTAAATATCTTATAAAGAAAATATTGAATAAGTGAATATATTACAGTAAGCTCTAATATCTTATTAAATAAGAAGATTATTCATTATTAGAAAATTCATGAAAACTGCTTGAGCATTTGAAAAATGCTGAGAAAGAGATTGCAAGCTATGAGATAGCTAGTAGAGACTGTCTCATTACACATCAGAGATAGTGAATAAGAAATATTACTTAGAACTTCTCATTTTTCTCAAAGAGTTTTTTAAAGATAATCTCATAATAATGAATCAGTGTCTTATGAACTCTGTAGCACTCTTCTTCTATTATCTCTCAAAGAATTTTTAGAAGTTTAATGAGACTACACAAGTGTAAAATTTCTGAAGTGATTAATAAGAAAAGAAAGAAATATTTAAAATTAATGAAGATTAATATTATTAATCTACAGACTACTGCTATTCTAATGAGACTGCAGTCTGCTGAAAAAGTAAAAAGAGAAAACTTCAGAGTCTACTTATTAATAATTATACTCTTCTTAAACTTATTCTTCACTGTTAAAGTCTTCAACACTGATATCTTTATCTGTTAAGAAGTTAGGACTGTGACACTGCAGAGAAGCATACTGTAGAAGAGTATAAGAGATACTGAAAGTATTAATTTATTAACTTATAAAATAAATCAGTTATCTGCTTTAACTGAAGTGAGATTCTCTTCAATTAGTAATTAATCTCTGTAGTACTTTTAATAGCAGCACTAGCTAACTTCTTCTTAAAGCTAGTTATTCTGAGATGTTTTTTCATCTCAGAGATTCATGCTTTTATCTTCTTTTATAGATAAGTAAGAGAGATCTCTTCAGTCTTGATAGAATTCACTAATACTTAAAGCTCTGAGAGTCTTACTCTGTACTGCTTGAGTATCTGAGCTTTTTATCAGAGTCAACACAATGTCTTTCTATGAGATAATACTTACAGAGAGACAGAAGTCATTGTTAGAGATATAATAAAAAAAACAGAAGTAAGAGAAGAGATGAGTGTATAAGATTCTTCTCTTCTTCAGCTGCTTAGTGCAGTATAGATATATAATAATATCAGTCAGAGACTGTACTAAAGTCTTTTTACAGAGAGAAGATAAAGAAACTGTGAGACTCTGCAAACTCAACTCAGCAGTATTTCAAGCAGAGCTCAGATATATCACAGAAGAGAAACTACAGATTAGACTTCTCAGAGCTGCTATTTCTGAAATCAAGCTCTTCTCAAGATTCTCTCTGAATGATCACATAGAGTCATACATCACTGTGTTAACTAAGGAAGAGAATGATGTTATAACAGCAGTGAAGAGAGCAGAAAAAGAACTGAACACAGATGAACTGATTAGCAGAAGAGACAACATCTCACTGCAAGACATGGCTACAATCACTGCAGCTGTAAGAGATATAGAAGAAGAAGATGTGATAATGAGAGCAGTGCTTCTGCAGCTCATTGACACTGCTGTCTTCATCTTCAATCTGGCTTTCTTGA